CAGTTCTCAATAGCTAGTACCAGTGCCTTGTAGTGATGGTAATGGATATAATCAGTGATGCAATACTACCGATGAGAGAAATTTATATTTTCTTGGAAGGTTTGTAAGTCTCGTACCTATAGTGTCAGCTTTGCTGAAATGGCGGGTAACAACTTTGTCCGTGTTGTCATTATCGCACAGGTTCAACTCAAGCAAATACACTTCCACTTTACAGTGCTTCACAAACATTCCATGTTCAACAACCTGGAAAACAAGTTAAAAAAAAAACACTAATTAACACAAAGCAAAACGAAACTAGAGGCTTTTAAAGCATTTAAATTAAACTTTAACCATTTAACTGTGTAAGAGTTTCAATGCAATTAAAACATGACAGTAGTATCACCCAATAACCCTGCCTGTAATCACTCAAGTATATCAGACATGGGTAAATACAGGTATCTCAGAAAAAATGGAAAACCAAGAGATTACCACAATATGAAAAACTACAAAGAAATATACAATACACAAAGAAAGAATGTAGAACCTTTCTGATGATGGGTTTCTGACCCTCCAGACAGCCATACCAGCTGACCAGCTTGTTCCAGGCCTCTGTAGGAACTAAAACATAGTCTAACTCATCTATGAGATGCTCTTTCAATGTCTGGGACTTGTGATCTACGATACAGAGAGAAAAGGGGGAAATCATTAGAAAAACACATTAGAGCCCTTTAACACTACACTGTATGATGCAAAAGAAATAGCCATGCTTGGCACAGATTTTGAGTGGTGCACAACAAATTAATACATTTTTTTCCTTAAACAAACATTTGGTCATCATTTATTCACCTTCAAGTTGTTTCAAGTTTTTTGACTTTCTTCCATAAAACACAAAGGAGAGATACTGAAGAATGTACTTGTTGCTTTTTTCTGTCATTACAAAAATGGGTAATGGAGATTTCAAGCTTCAAAAAGGATGCAAAGCAACATAACAAAAAATGCCATACAACTATATTCCAAGTCTTCTGAAATCACATGATAGCTTTGGGTGAGAAAAATCAATACAAGTAGTTACGCAATGATAATCTTCTCCTCCAATCATCTGTTAACTCAAATTATTTCATTATTAATTAACTCAAACAAATCATTTAGGAAAAGACCTGATTCATACGGTTTATTGTGTATGGTTTAAAATCTCCATTTGAGCTCCACTGAAGAAATGAAGTTGGGTTTGGGACGACATGAGGGTGAATTAATTAAAGAACTTAAATTTTCGGACGAACTATCCTTTTAAGACTGAAATATCAAAACATAAGTACACGGTAAGCTCCTAAAAAATTTATTTAGCCTTTGAATCAGGTATTCACATACATAACTGCATAAGAATTCCTATTCTTAAAAGCTCTGATAAAAATGTGTCTAGTATTATAACAAAAATAATTTTAATGCTGGCAAAAAAAAAAAAAAAAACATCACAACACTTATCTATGAGAATGTGAACAAAGATAAGCACAACACTCACTCAACATTCATTACCTGAAAAGAGTCCAGAGTTGTCAATAGGTCCCGGGAACAGATTGTGCTCTCCAACATTGTACAAATCCCAGCTGTCAAAGCCCACATATTTCTTCCACTGTTTGAACCACCGGCTGTCAATCAAATACCTAAACAAGTGGAACAATAGCTGGAGATCAATGAAAAGTCAGTGGAAAAGGACAATTAATGTGTTTCTCTCCTAAAATATTAGAGCTAAACTGATGGGGCACAGCAAATATATTTTGTGTTACACATCTACAAATATAGAACAGTCAATAAGGACTTGTTCCACTACATAAGCTTGTTAACACTTGATTCCACTCTGCCAAGGGACAGACATTATACTTGATAAGAAAGAAAAGTCTTAATTAAAATGGGTAAGACAAAATTGACAATTCTATTATTGAATTCTCTATTATTGAATTGAAAAGGAGAATTCTCTTTTTGATGTGGAACACAAAAAGAGATGTTCACTTTCATTTTAGGGAAAAATGAATTGAAAGTGAAAGGTAACTTTCTGCCTAACATCATTTAAATTCGACAAAAAGGCTGAGCATTAGAAAGAAAAAAATTAATAAAATAAAAATCAGTTTATTTCAAAATATTAAATTGTAATTAACGTATGTAGCAACATTAAGCTCTTTAAAAAACAGTGACCTTAATTAAATAACAACACAAGATACCTGTTTGAGTAAATTAAATAATTGTAGTACAAGTCGACACAATGAAAGTACTTCTAATCCTACTGAAACCTAAAAACCTTCCTTTCAATTGAGTCACTAGTCTCTTTACTTATTATAACTCGTCAGTCTGCTTTCAAAATACAAGTGCACTGGCTATCCAAACACTTACATGTACTAACAGGTTTAAAATCTGAATGATGTGTATATATATTGGGGTTTTCATCTCCATTAACTTAAGATGCATTTCTGTGTATTTACTATCTGTTCCATAAACAACTTCTATTGCCAAACAACATTGTGAGTGACTGGGTGTTATCCAGTAGCCATGACAAAGCACTGCCTCACTGTAATACTGATTTTAGGTAGCTTAGTCTTCGTCACAACTTCACAGGGAGGAGTTTGGCCGTTATTTTAGTCCAGTTTGACAGTTCTAGTTTGACAGAAGGTCGTCGTCTAACAGAAATGAACACTTAACCCGTCAATGAAACGCAAACTAGCCTGGCTAACTAGCATCGGCTAATGAAGTGCCTTACATGCCTGACGCTAACGTTACTTTGTCATGTAGCTTATCAGAGAACTGATAAGCGACAATGAGGTGGCTGAGTTTATTTACCAACCTTTTCGCTACTAACGTGTCTGAATACGTCTTATTTTTCCATTAATTGGACATTTAAGCTGAAGAACTGGGGAGATATGCGAAGCTATGGCTGGTTAACCTGTGCTAAGTTAAATAGCTACAAGACAGCTTCCTCGTTTTCTAACCGATATAAATAGTGTTGAATCCTTATTACAGTAAATCGCACGCGTGGCCTGTACACCAACTCGATGATAATAATAGCAGCCTTCTAGTTTATGGGTGTTAGCGGAGCAGGTGGCTGTCCACAGCCCGGCTAGTGAAGAGATTTCCGGCAGCCGGTGTCTCCGTCTGTAGGCCTGAGCCGATGCCGACAAGCTTGCTTCGACTTCGGCTTCACATAAAAACCTCTTACCACTCATCTCCCTTTCGAAGTGGCGTCTTCAGCAGTGTGCCGATGCTCTGCTTTTGACTTTCGGTGGACGGTACTGGTGTCTGTGCGATCACCGGCTTCTCGTCAGGGTCCGAAGCGTTACCCGACTCGGGTCCGCCTCCCTCCGCCATCGTGCAGCGAGTGAACCCGCAGCGACCGCGAGCGCGCTGAAGTATACAGGAGACGCGCAGCGCTAGAGGGAGCGCGCAAACTTAGCTGCCGAAATCAACTAGGAGCAGTGTTGGGGGTAACGCATTACAAGTAACGCGAGTTACGTAATCAGATTACTTTTCCAAGTAACTAGTAAAGTAACGCATTACTTTTTTTATTTACAAGAAAATATCGAAGTTACTTTTTCAAAAAAGTAACGCGAGTTATTTGTTTTCCCATTTATTGACTGACAGCTCTGTGTATTAATTCATCCCACTCACTAGGAGCTACATCCTTCATGAACAATTAGGGCTCTGGGAAGATGAGCATTTTGGTGTCTGCATCCCTGACAGCTTAAAGTATTGCTGTCAGCCGCTACAATAAATCTTTGACTGATAGGACCTCTTGCCATATTGTCCCCTGAAATTGCTTTTCTATTGCATTGCGCTTTGAATAGCGTATTTGGTTTGATTTATACCCATACAAAACGGATGTCCGATCCATCATTCTGAGTCAAATTTCAATGGATCAGTTGAACTGGGTCACAAACTCATATGAAGGATTCATTTACAAATCGAATTGAGTTGGTTGAGTTTGAACCGACAATGGCCTCTTTAGGATATGTCAGATTTGTGAACCATGTAACTTACTATGGTTGGATTGCATAAAATGCTAAGACTAGTCTTAAAGGTTAGTCATCTAAAAAAATGTCCTGTAAGTTTAGTCAACTTCTTGCGGTCACTTACATAAAAACAGTGTAATTTGAATAATAAAAAAAAACGGATTACTACTTGGTTAACTGCTAGTTACGATGTTCATACAACCGGCCACCTGAAAAACGTTTGTGAGTCCTGAATTGGTTTTAATAAATTGCATTTGATTAAAATTTCCTAATAAGAGAAATGTAAATAAATGTAATTATTGTTTAATGTAAATGCAAATTATATTTAGGTCATTAATAACTGTAGAAAAAAAGTGGTAGAAAAAGTTATTAAATAGTTGATAAAAGATACAGAACAGAGAATAGTGCATCACTTTTTAGAAAATCAGGCTGTATTAATGTACACATCCAATAAATGTAGTGAGAAACATTTATTTAAACCAAAAATTGCATTTAATAAAACTCAAATAAATATATTAAACATGCCAATAAATGTTAATATCTAATGAGGAAAATCTACTGAAATACTGAACACTGACATTTTTTTCGCTACATACTCAGTGCATGGTGTACTGGCACCATAAGAAAGCCTCTAAAACGACAGTAAATTAAGGAACATACTATTTAGGTAACTGAACCTAAGTTATGGTCTGATCCACTTTTTAAAATGCCGGATTACTACTTGGTTAACTGCTAGTTACGATGTTCATACAACCGGCCACCTGAAAAACGTTTGTGAGTCCTGAATTGGTTTTAATAAATTGCATTTGATTAAAATTTCCTAATAAGAGAAATGTAAATAAATGTAATTGTTTAATGTAAATGCAAATTATATTTAGGTCATTAATAACTGTAGAAAAAAAGTGGTAGAAAAAGTTATTAAATAGTTGATAAAATAGATACAGAACAGAGAATAGTGCATCACTTTTTAGAAAATCAGGCTGTATTAATGTACACATCCAATAAACAGCATCAGCGCTGGAGTAGGTCAAAATTATGGTGTATTGAAATGGAACATCAATAAAGTTATTTACCATTGTCTTGTCCAAGAATCAGAGAATACATGCTCCTGAGACCAAAGACATTCAGGAAATACCAAGATGCTGAACTCACCCTGTGGATGTATACAGCACGAGACTGTTTAAAGACACAGCTTTGAATGAAATAAGAACAACACTCAAGGGTTTGAGAGCACTAACCAGGAGGCATCTAGAGAGAGCAACTCAATTCCCTGCTGCAGCATCGGCTTGAAGCGGAGTGTGAGGGGAAACGGTACCTTTGCTTGAGAGAACAGATTTATAAATGCGTTAAGACGAGCTCTGTGAGAATAGACTACAGGAAGCCATACTCTCATATTTGATTGTGAAAACTGTATCTCTTACTTGTGACAAACCCAGAGAAGGTCCAGTTGATCCAACCACCAATAAGGATCATAGGCAAGACGTTTGTCACATTGCCTTTCATCATGTCCGTCAACATGCTGGGATCTAATTGAGCAAATTACATCATGGCATTAACCTTTTCACTCAATCCTGATTGCCATTTTATGACATATGCATAAAAGTATTTCCACCAATACTCACCAGTCATTGGAGATGGTGGGACCACCTTTCTTTTGGTCTTCTTGAAAAAGCCATCTTCTTGATTATTAAAGTAGAATTTTCTCATCAAGAAAGACTTTTAGCAAGAGATAACATTTCAGTACTCCAGTAAAGTCTCAAGCAAAAGACACAAAAAAAGATAAGAGGGGCTCACTTGTTTGGGGATGTATTTTCCATTTTCCCGTAAAACTCTGCTCCTGATAAGAACCTGGCTGTGTAGAGAACATGATCTTTAGTGTTTTGTAACATTTTGTGAGCTGCAAAACACATGTGGATGGATAATGAAACAGTCCAATGAAAGTTACCTGTCTGAAACTTGCTCTAACGTGAGCTTCTTGTCACTTTGTAACAGAATTGAAACATAATGGCGGATCACTCCAACCAGAAAAGTAATAAACACGATAGGCAGCACAACCCAAAGACGAATATTGGAGTCCAGGAGGAGCTCAGGCTCAGCCATGCTTTAGTGAAGGGATGTTGATGGGATATGCCAACCCTGAAACAGACAAACTATGAGATCTAGTAATCTCTTGGATTTCATTTAACCGAATGCCCAAAGTTATATTTAAAATAAGCTGATCACCGTGAACCATTGTGGATTAATGATTAGTACATGTATATAAAAAGACAGCACTCATATTTTCATAAGCTAGTACTCGATTCCCTTAATTAAGTCTGCTCGGACCTTCATAAGACTGCCGAACGTTACATTTAGAGATTTCCAATTTATTTGTTCATATTCAAGTCAAACTCATACATGTGTATGTCGTCTCTATCGGTTACAGAACACAGAAAAAGAAAAGCAGGTGCTTCAGATTTCAGTGTAAATCCTCCCACTATAACGTCGCATCAGGGTTAGCTTGTTGCTAACAACCTTCTTTCATGGTGAGGCGTCTTTTTTAGCATATACACACCGACACCGGGCATGTGCTAAATTTTCGACGCTACATGTTGCGACAACTGAGACTTTATCATAATGCAGTTATTGTACCTACTCTCGTATTCAAATTGTGGTTTATCTCTTCGAAGCCCGATAACGACTCAAACCAGGAATCGCCAGCATCGAGCCGCTGCTGTTAAGATGTGAACGCACTACTAAGCAGCCGCAGCGAAGTTTTTCAAAATAAAGGTTATTTCTGGAACATTTTCATAATTAAAGTTCGAATATCAAATTGACTAAATCAAAGTGTCAGTAAAATCTAATTATAATTAGAAACGAATGTATATATTTATTTAATTTTGTCTGTTATATCACTTCACTGTCGGCCGGTATTGTGGGGTTATGCTTTGCGTTCATTTGACTGGAGATTTCAGTGTAAATCCTCCCACTATAACGTCGCATCAGGGTTAGCTTGTTGCTAACAACCTTCTTTCATGGTGAGGCGTCTTTTTTTAGCATATACACACCGACACCGGGCATGTGCTAAATTTTCGACGCTACATGTTGCGTCAACTGAGACTTTATCATAATGCAGTTATTGTACCTACTCTCGTATTCAAATTGTGGTTTATCTCTTCGAAGCCCGATAACGACTCAAACCAGGAATCGCCAGCATCGAGCCGCTGCTGTTAAGATGTGAACGCACTACTAAGCAGCCGCAGCGAAGTTTTTCAAAATAAAGGTTATTTCTGGAACATTTTCATAATTAAAGTTCGAATATCAAATTGACTAAATCAAAGTGTCAGTAAAATCTAATTATAATTAGAAACGAATGTATATATTTATTTAATTCTGTCTGTTATATCACTTCACTGTCGGCCGGTGTTGTGGGGTTATGCTTTGCGTTCATTTGACTGGAAACACCAGAAACCGGAAATGTAAAGCAGGTATGAGACGGACGAAACTTCCGCCTCCTGAGTGGTTTTTTGACACTTCATCTGAACGGATAGTACAGTGCAGGGATCCTCAAATCTGGCCCACGAGATCCACTTTCCTGCATTGTCTGTTATATCACTTCACTGTCGGCCGGTATTGTGGGGTTATGCTTTGCGTTCATTTGACTGGAAACACCAGAAACCGGAAATGTAAAGCAGGTATGAGACGGACGAAACTTCCGCGTTCGGAAAAAAAGGTGGATAGGATCGATCATGGGATCGATAAAAAAAAGTAAATTAAAAAAATCATAAGACACACAGTTTAGTTAATTCTTACACTTGTGTATTTTTAAATGCTACAAAACTTCATTTAAATACATACATATATTTTTATTTTATACATTAAATATTCAAGCATCCTGAGTGGTTTTTTGACACTTCATCTGAACGGATAGTACAGTGCAGGGATCCTCAAATCTGGCCCACGAGATCCACTTTCCTGCAGAGTTGAGCTCTAACCCTAATCAAACACACCTGAGCATACTAATCAATGTCTTCAGGATCATTAGAAAATCACAGGTAGCTGAGTTTGATCAGGGTTGGAGCTAAACTCTGCAGCGCATTGGACCTCCAGGGCAAGATTTGAGGAAACCTGGTATAGTGTGTCCTGAACCCCAAATACAGCTCAGACATGAGTATCAAATGTGAATTTATGAACATAAGTAACATACATTTATTTTATTACCATGGATGAGGCCACGCATAACACATCACATTGAAGCACATGACATTAAACTAAGAAAAAATGGTGACAAATTAACTTCTTTTTTTTTTAAATGAATGAAATGTGGTAGCCGTGGGGGTTCTGCACAGAAATGGTTTCACTCTGAAGACTACAGTAACTGTTTTTTGTCTTCAATTAACATCATTAGGAAAAAAACCCCGGCTCAAAATGGACAAAGAACAAAACTCCATAAGTATTCACAACACATTTTAATACTGTGGCCTGTATAAGAAAAACATATGAAACATTCTTCTTTTACAAACCACATCCTCTCATATCAACACTGGCATGTTCATTAACAGGCAGTTTCTGCAGCATTTGCTCCACTAAAAGAAACCACAGCTAATTAGATCTAAAAGGGTCAATAATAGAAATATTTTTAAGTAGTGTGACTGAAATACACAGAACTATTTTATAACAGCTTGTAAATACAGGAAGAAAACAACAAACATAAATATAAAAAAAATAACAAAACTTCAACAAATCCAATGCAGTAATCTCAAAGAAATCGCACTGATAAACTTGGGCAAATTTAACAACCAATCCCATACTATCACACAGCCCACACAAAATGCAACAGGCAAATGTGCACACACCCACACATACACTAAAATCAACCATTGCCATGATAGAACATTGTGCTTACCTCATCACACACATACTGAGACACGTTTAGTCCAGGGCGTATCACAGGCTGATCAAGTTTGGACATGTTTGTTCTATTATGCATTACTGAATGGAATTACATGGAATCAGAAACACCCACATATGTATGTTCCTGGCTTGGGAGATTTAAATATATATATATTTTCCCCAAGAGAATGGAATACAATTTACTCTGCAACTCTGATGCGAAGCGAGCCACTACAGGTCAGGATCAGATGCAACTTACCGACCAAGTACCCAGCAGGTTGACCAAGAAGTTCCCACTGAAGCGAGTGGAGAGCATTTGAGAGATGACGTATAAGTTGGACACTAATGCAGACTGCAGGATGATGGGAATGTTGGAGGTGTAGAACAGTTTGATGGGATATGTGTTATACTGGCCACGGTAACGAGCAGATTTGATAGGGAGGTCAACTCTGAAGCCCTGCGGAACAAGAAATAATATACTTGGCATCGAATACTTGAATTGTGATCATTTATAATTAAACCGCAATATCTGCTATTATTTCCAAATGCACATTATTAGAGGCCCAAACTGAGAGCAGATGCAGAAAACGAGTTCCTGTGGAGCATTTACTTTGACCAGAGCTGGATCATGAGCTGCTTGCATTTGAAAGCCACTGAACCATATCATAATTTCATGTTTTGTTTTGAATTAATTGTGCAGCCCTATGTGCGGGAAGAGTTGTCAGCTAATTGGGGTTAAAGGGTTAGTTCACCCAAAAATGAAATTTATTCAATAAATTACTCACCCTCAAGTAATCCTAGGTGCATATGACTTTCTTCTTTCAGACGAATCCAGTCTGAGTTATATATTAAAAATGGTCTTTGATCTTTCAAGCTGTTTAATGGCACTCAGCGGGTGTTGCATGCATCAGTCCAAAAGAAGTGAAATAAAAAGTCCCCATCCATAAAATAAAAATAAAGTGTTTCACACGGCTCCAGGGGGTGAACAAAGGCCTCCTGTAGCGAATCGATGCGTTTTTGTAAGAAAAATATCCATATTCAAAACGTAAATCACTTTAATGTAGCTTGCGCCAACAGTTGTACACGGAAGCAGCTCCGGGCTGATGAGGTATGAGGTCAGCGTTGCGCATGCGCCGGTGAGTCTCGTGAAAACCAACATTTGTATACAGGAGCAAAGGAAGCAAAGTTTCCTTACTTTAGCAAAAGAAAACCAGTCTCCTCTTGGCTTATATCGAAATCCTCCAACATTCTTCTTTACAAATCCTCGTTTTGTACTTCTAATTAGTGACCGTTGTTTTGATTTCATCTCTTCCCTGCACTTCCGTGTTTGTCACTTCTGAGCGGCGCAGGCGCAACGCTGACCTCATACATCATCGGCCTGGAGCTGCTTCCGTGTACAACAGTGAGCGCAAGCTAGATTAAATTGATTATTACGTTTTAAATATGGTTATTTTTCTTACAAAAATGCATCGATTCGCTACAGGAGGCCTTTGTTCACCCCCCGGAGCCGTGTGAGGCACTTTTTATTAAGGATGGCGCTTTTTTGGACTGATGCACTGCAACACCCGCTGAGTGCCATTAAATAGCTTGAAAGATCAAAGAAGTTTTAATTTAACTCCGACTGGATTCGTCTGAAAGAAGAAAGTCATATACACCTAGGATGACTTGGGGGGCGAGTAATTTATGGACAAATTTTCATTTTTGGGTGAACTAACCCTTTAAGGATTTGAACAAGCAATAGCAGCAGATATGGCTTAGCAAACAACTCTGTATAGGTATGGACATATTCGTGGGCGAAATCCCATCATTCCAATAGGAATCTCCACGATCAGGAGTTGTGTGTGAGGGTGAAAAACTTCCCCACGCAAGTTTCACTCATTTTCAAGTTGGTCACATGAATTTGCTGCATTTAGCAACAAAAACCTACTCGGATTGAAAGTGAATTCTGTGTCAGCGGTGCTTCTTACTTTACTACACTATAGGAGTAGTATAGAATAAAAAGTATAGAAAAACTCAATTCGAATTTTGTACTTATATATTATCAATATTCGAATTAGATTCGAATTTAAAAGGCATAATTTCAGTTACGGGGAAAAGATTTTGGCTTCTGAATTCCATTGGTTTAATACAAAGGACCGAAAACCAATCACAAAGAGTACTTTATTCATTTAAACATGAGATGCAGTGGGATGGGGAAAACCGCCATAAAGTCTTGAGACATGTTTTTAAAAAGTTGAACTTACATAAATTTTTACATGGCTTTCTAAACATGCGGCTCTCTTGTGCGAGACGCGAGTGCAACGGTGATAGATGTCCCTCTAGAAAATGTGATAAATAGGCGTTCTGTGTGAACGGCTTGGTTTCGGTTTTGACGTAAACAACATCATCTCTGCATTGATGTTCTATTTTTCCGCAATATTTTGAATGAACAACGTAGCAGTGCCGCATCTAGTGGGATCAATTGGATAGGCTAACAAAAGCATTAAAATGCAATGACACTTACATGTCATCAGGCTGCCAGATGTACACCTAAAATTCGAATGCAACGTTTTTGCATTCAAATGTGGATTTTTATTTTAAATTCGACGAATATTCAAAATTTGATTGTTTTTTTTTGACAGCCCTACTACACTATGGAACTTATTTTGCTAATATGACCACACCTTTATGCAATAACCCACTAACCTGAAAGTATATGACCACTGCAAAGACGAAGACTGTAGCAATGAGGTTCATGAGGTTGGGCAGGTTCTGTCTGTAAAAGGCCTCTCTCAGTGCTCGCACTTTATCAGTACGAGTGGCCAACAGGTGGAAAAGAGCAATAATGGCTCCTTCAAACTCTGTACCTGCACGTACACAAACAAATTTCAGTCAGCATCACTTAAGACACCACAGAATGGTTCAAAACAAGATGCTGCATCCTGAACACAAACCTCTTCCCGTGTTGACTGTGGTTGGGCTGAACGCCTTCCATACTATTGTTTCACAGATGTTGGTGGCGATGAAGAGAGAAATACCAGAGCCCAAACCGTAACCCTTCTGCAGCAACTCATCCAGCAGTAACACGATCAGACCGGACACAAACAACTAGAGAGAGTATACAAATCAATATTAACTGACCAAGTATAGCATAATTAACTAAAGGAAGGTGTTTTCAACAAAAGGATAATGTTCTTCACAAAGCAAATCACAAGATAAGACTGACGAGATCCAAAATGTTGATCAATCAGTCTTTTTATAATGAGGCGCATTTGCGTAGATAGCAGATGCGAATACAAACAGACAAGATTATTTGAACAATGCCTGCAAAGGTCACTCCGTTAAGACAGGCCAAAGTCTTGTGAAATTACAGGTTATTTAGCAACCAGTGGTGATAACCAATAACTTGAAGGAAGCTAGAGAGATAACAAAAATGATTCCACAATAAGGCAAATATAGATCCAATATGTTTTTAAATGGTCGTTGTCAATGATAGTATATAGAATAAAGAGTACTAAAATTAAATGTACACAATGCACAATATTAATGACTGAAAACAGAATATATGCATTATCCATTCATAATGGTGTCAGGAGATTTGGTTGGAGCCGAATGCTTCTGTTAAATAGCCAAGCAGGGAACGTTATCGGCTGAATAAATATATCAGTTTATCACTACTAAAATGCCTAAATATTTAATGCACAGGTGACTATAAAGAATGTGAATTAACCTGGATGATGATGAGGAGGCAGATTCCAGCACCCATTTCTGAAGGGTCTCCATACATGCCAGTCATCACATACACGATAGATTGGCCAATGGTGATGATCATGCCAAAGACTGGTGGAAAGATCTAACAGTTAGATGTCTTAAAAAAACAAATGCAATGATGACATTAAGATGGGTTTCCCACAAGAGTATTGCACTGGAAGCTGCATTAGACCATTCCATTAGTTTCAACCAATTAAGTCACTTAGAGTCAGGGAAGAGCCACATTCAATACATATACATATATATATATATATACAGTGGGGCAAAAAAGTATTTAGTCAGCCACCAATTGTGCAAGTTCTCCCACTTAAAAAGAAGAGAGAGGCCTGTAATTTTCATCATAGGTATACCTCAACTATGAGAGACAAAATGAGAAGAAAAAAAAAATCCAGAAAATCACACTGTAGGATTTTTAAAGAATTAAAGTGCTGCGTAATAAGCCATGATATTTATCCTGCATGCCTGAGAATCATATAATAGAATGTTATAACATATCTTACGTTTCTGAGCTCCGTTGAAGAGTGCTCTATCTTTAGGTGTGTCTCCAACCTCAATGATTTTAGCTCCAGCCAGCAGCTGCATGATCAGGCCAGATGTCACAATGGGAGAGATACCCAACTCCATCAGAGTACCTGAAACACACATTGTTAAACTTTTAAACAATCTAATGATTGGCAAATATGGCTTTTATATGACTAATATAACACACAAAATTGTGCATACCAAATATTACATATAATTGAGTGGATTTGGAGTAAATATTAATTTTGAATTATTTATTGACAATCAAATAAGCACAGATTGTTTATGGCAGATAAATTGATATTAAAATTGAATGAAAGTTAAATTAAACGATATAATACTGTGCAATTGTTATTCATTAATCAACATGATGACTGATTCAATCACTGTCTGCACTGCTGATTCAGATATACGCACCTCTGTTGGATGCCAGGATCACTCTCATCCAGTAAAAAGGATCTGCTGAGTCTGAGGACATGATTCCAAAGAGGGGAATCTGGAGGACAGAGAGTATAGGAGATCATTCAAACAAAGTTTACGGTCTCCTAAAGCAAATAAAACATCCAAAAATGGTAATGTTTGGTTTGAGAAGTTTATAAATGCACAAGAATGATTTTGCTGATCATCAACAGTTTACAGCACTTCAGAGAGCTCAGGAGTTTCAATTAGAGTGAACATACCTGGCAGCACACCAGAAAGATGAACAGGGTGATTGCAGTCCATAACACTTTTTCTCTGAACTGAATCTGTGGGGAAGCGATTCAAAGAGTTAGTATCACTGAAGCGCCACAAGAAGAAGTAAAGCAAACGGCTGCTGTGACCAAACTGCATACCCTCCTCTCTGGTTTCTGGATCTCAGGTAAAACCGCACAGAAGGGCTTTATCACCTCTAAGAATTTAACTGAAACAGAAAAGAAATGCACTTAAGATTACAGTTCTTATGCCTAACTTGAGAAAACAAGACGACGTATCCTAAGAGGTCTCGGTGATTCAGGCGACGTGGCTTTAGAGTTTCTGGACTTCAGACAAGTTACTTGAATCTGTGTCTCTTGCAACGTCAACATTCATTCCGAGAAGAAAACTCCGACCAAAATCACACGATCAGACAGTGACAGCTGTCCATTAAATGCGTGCATGAAACTAAAACAAATCACGCTTCAAAACAAAGATAATGGTTTACAATTATCGACGTTAACAGATGAAGTGAGCGTTATATTTTAATTATGTACTATGGTCCTAAATAAATTACTTATGTGCAATATATTACAAGTTCAAAAAGCATACAACGTCTACGCAATGAAAATAAACAGCAAATGCATTTGTGAACATGCTAGTTTATTGACGTTAGCTGGCTACGGTCGCTTTATAAAATCAGTGCAATTACACATTTAACCATTAAAGTCACATTTTAGACAACAAAATAAACATAGAGTACGTGTTTTTGTAAACTGGACAATAAAACAATGAAGACCATGCCATTCTAACAGTAAAATACAGTTGCTAATCTGTAATGAATGAATGTAGCACTGAAGCTAAACTGTTCTTTTTAAAATAGCAGTTGTTTACAGCTACAGAATGCATTAAAAATGTTTTAGTAGACTCATAGTAAAGTTTAAAAACACCATGACGACTCACTGGCCATGGTGTCCCTCTGATGGTGGTCCCCTGCAGTCTAGCGGCTAGCTAGCGAGCACCGGTCAGCGGATCTATCAGGACACCTCATCAGCCAGAGCACACACACGACAGAAACAGCGGGCTGATGGAACCCGAATAAAGTATGAAATGGGCGGGATTAGTGGCCCGGAAATGGTCTCTAATACAGGTATGATAGTTCTAACGTTAAATAGCAATTTTGCTGTTGTGCTCTTTAATTAGTTTCATTTTTTGAATGTAATAAATATTTAGGTTTCTAATAGGTGAGTGTGTTCAGACGTGGCGTGCATAAGGGTGTCACGTGTTAACTGTTACTTTTCTCAGCGTGGGCCAAAATTGACCAATCAGAGTCATTTATGCTCTAATAAAAAATAAAAGACTTTTTATAGAAATATCTGGGGGTTTCTGTACATATGCTAGTAAAACTCCTCTGAAAATAATATGTTTAAAAGATTATACAATTTAGTAAACATATATCCCTAATAACTAAGACAAACGCGTGCTGGATATGAATGTCTTTCAGAGCCTCCTGGCGGAAGACTTTTTTTGGCCTCGAAGGACACAGGTTACGTAAATGTTTTGTTCTTTTTCAGCTCAACATATTATATATTAAATAGATTTTTAATCAATTACAATGACTCCTAGATTAGAATTAATTCTTATTTCATTATTTACAAGTTTTATTACAGTTACTTTTAGTCTGTCAAGCTGCTGTGCTGAGATATTGGCAAATAGCCAACGTTATTCTTTACAAAGATCAACCTTGAGGTTATGTGTATTGTTTTATGTTGTTAGAATTATTTTTTTTAACACAAATTACGTTCAATTAGAACCACATTTGATTCCAACGTAATATAATGTCAATATAATGGCGAGTGTTAAGAAGCACGTCAACATTCATTCCGAGAAGAAAACTCCGACCAAAATCACACGATCAGACAGTGACAGCTGTCCATTAAATGCGTGCATGAAACTAAAACAAATCACGCTTCAAAACAAAGATAATGGTTTACAATTATCGACGTTAACAGATGAAGTGAGCGTTATATTTTAATTATGTACTATGGTCCTAAATAAATTACTTATGTGCAATATATTACAAGTTCAAAAAGCATACAACGTCTACGCAATGAAAATAAACAGCAAATGCATTTGTGAACATGCTAGTTTATTGACGTTAGCTGGCTACGGTCGCTTTATAAAATCAGTGCAATTACACATTTAACCATTAAAGTCACATTTTAGACAAGAAAATAAACAGAGTACGTGTTTTTGTAAACTGGACAATAAAACAATGAAGACCATGCCATTCTAACAGTAAAATACAGTTGCTAATCTGTAATGAATGAATGTAGCACTGAAGCTAAACTGTTCTTTTTAAAATAGCAGTTGTTTACAGCTACAGAATGCATTAAAAATGTTTTAGTAGACTCATAGTAAAGTTTAAAAACACCATGACGACTCACTGGCCATGGTGTCCCTCTGATGGTGGTCCCCTGCAGTCTAGCGGCTAGCTAGCGAGCACCGGTCAGCGGATCTATCAGGACACCTCATCAGCCAGAGCACACACACGACAGAAACAGCGGGCTGATGGAACCCAAATAAAGTATGAAATGGGCGGGATTAGTGGCCCGGAAATGGTCTCTAATACAGGTATGATAGTTCTAACGTTAAATAGCAATTTTGCTGTTGTGCTCTTTAATTAGTTTCATTTTTTGAATGTAATAAATATTTAGGTTTCTAATAGGTGAGTGTGTTCAGACGTGGCGTGCATAAGGGTGTCACGTGTTAACTGTTACTTTTCTCAGCGTGGGCCAAAATTGACCAATCAGAGTCATTTATGCTCTAATAAAAAATAAAAGACTTTTTATAGAAATATCTGGGGGTTTCTGTACATATGCTAGTAAAACTCCTCTGAAAATAATATGTTTAAAAGATTATACAATTTAGTAAACATATATCCCTAATAACTAAGACAAACGCGTGCTGGATATGAATGTCTTTCAGAGCCTCCTGGCGGAAGACTTTTTTTGGCCTCGAAGGACACAGGTTACGTAAATGTTTTGTTCTTTTTCAGCTCAACATATTATATATTAAATAGATTTTTAATCAATTACAATGACTCCTAGATTAGAATTAATTCTTATTTCATTATTTACAAGTTTTATTACAGTTACTTTTAGTCTGTCAAGCTGCTGTGCTGAGATATTGGCAAATAGCCAACGTTATTCTTTACAAAGATCAACCTTGAGGTTATGTGTATTGTTTTATGTTGTTAGAATTATTTTTTTAACACAAATTACGTTCAATTAGAACCACATATGATTCCAACGTAATATAATGTCAATATAATGGCGAGTGTTAAGAAGCACAACATATCAATGTTTATATAGATTTTGTGGTAAATAATTCGTGTCTGCGCAAGATAACTGAAATCTTCAGTTTCACGTCTAATTTGACAAAATATGACTTCACTGAGTGCATCTTCATTCAGCATTGCAGTTTAATATAGGTTACTTGACACAAATAACCGCGAGGGGGCATCCGTTCATCAGAAATCTGGAAAAGTATTTAAATGATTCATTATATATGTATTATAACCTAATTACTAAAAGTGTCATTTTTATAAGATGATGTAATTCATATCTCAGCAACATTTAAAATGTGATAATGAATTATTTAAGTGACCGTCTTTTTTAAACAATTGTAGTTCATCAAAACATGATCAGATTATCCTAGTCTGGTGTCTGCAGCGGATGCAGGCCAATCTGACACACATAATCACTGAGCCCTATAACATTCACACCAATGAACAAATGACATGAGCAGAGAACACATGGCTTTTTGCTCAGTACTTTATACACATTTATGCACACAGCGGCTGATTGAGATGAGCCATTGTCTGCACTTTAATAAAGAGATACTTGTTCAGACTGGTTATATAATGTCAGTGAACTGTGAGATAACACAGAGGTGAGGCCAAGCAAATACCACACAAATCACTCATTTCTCACCCAGCTGGTTCATTTTATTGTTACATCTCAGTGTTGTGTCGTATAAGGCAAAAAATGTCATTTAGCATTTTGTGTGTATATATATATATATACTGTATATACCTTGTGTACATTTATAAAGGCATAATATTTCAGCCATGTTGAAGGACGTGGAATCTGGACTGAGAAGAAAGTGGCGTGATACATAAGCAAAGGAAATGAATATTTTCCAAAATGTTTATTTTCACGTACACCAAGGCCTTCCTCTTCGTTTATTTTTGTGGTGTTTGCAATTCTCCGTGAGATATAGTCCATTTGAGCTGCTATTTTCAGATGCTGTTGACATAACCCAGGATCTAAATTCTTCAGTTGCTAACTGCGTTGAGAGATATATGATTTGTTTTATGGATTACGTGACATTTCAGTTGGCTCATCTGATTCACTTGGGTTTGGTTTACAATTTGAGTGAAACAACTTGCTGAATTACATCCTATTTTCAATGCCTTACATAAACTGAAGTTAACTTATTTAATTACATTTTAGGAATCAAACTAATAAATGCTGTTTTGCTCGCATCAATTGGTTCTCAGTTTTAAGTTCTTATAAGCACTCAAACAATACAAAGCACCAGTACAAATGTATATTTCGCTGGTCATCATGGCTTAAATATTTCCTCTTAATGAGCTGACAAGCCAATTAAAAAGTCAATGAAATCTATTTCCGATGTAATTGGCCACAATTATAGTCATTTGTCCTTGTGAATATAGACTCTCATTACTAAAACATACAGTCTTTGACCTAAAGCAATTGCATTAATGCATTTTAACCATTCAACCAATTCATGTTTAGCAAATTTCATGATGGCTGTAAGTTAGTTCAAAACACTGAAAACAATTCTGAACCCAAATGGTTGTTTGACAAAATTTATTAAATATATATTCATTTTGTATATTACTCTTTAATGATTTATTTTTGTTGTTTATTCATGCTTCTAAGCGTTTACTTTTCTTTTTCATGTTTAAACATTAAATTATTATTATTATTATTTAAATATTAACATAAATATTTGGATGTATTACTATTCATGTCTGTTAATTCATTTATTTATTTTTAAATATTGATAATAATAAAAGAAAAACATTCATTTTAATATTTTAAAATACTTTTAATATTTAAGAAAGTGCCATTAGAAGTGGAAAAAGACTTGTGTAGAAACCATTTTCATTCACAAATTGCTAGTACATTTCACAAATAATTACAAAGAACACCTTAAATTAAACATGACATTTTGAAGTAGAAATACTGAAATAAAATAAAATGTGCTTTAATAATCTTTGTTATATTTACAACTTTGAAAAAAATCTTTTTTCATTATAACAGGCATTTTGGGCAAGATAATTTATTAAAACTGTGAAACAGTGGCCGTTGTCTCAAGTATGGTTTCTCTGTGCTCTTTCTCCCTGCTGTTTAATGACATAAAACCATTTAACTCGCTGGCCTGATGCACAAGGTCTTTTCCAACATCCAGAGACATTTACTTAAGTGACAACCTCATTTATTTATCACCTCAGAGATATGATCCCTAAGCCTCTGATGAGGCATGGCAAATTTGCTTAGACAGAGCAAACTCTGTGGTTAATTCCACATATGCTCAGACTCACACACACAATAACTATACTACAAACTACTGAGGTAAATGAATCCATGATCACCAAATGTCAGAGCCATTTTGCTCATTTGTGCCTGTTTCAGTGTTTTCCCCCCTTATATTTAGACGCATCTATAAATACTGTTAGTGAGTTAGAGAGGCGTCTGATGAGTCAGAATGTGACATTATATCAGGACAGCAGAGGAAAGAATGCAGTAGGCAGAGCACTTTACATCTCAACAGATTCATAATCCAAAGAGTGCAATATTAGAATCAATTGGGAAGTCAATTAGCTCTAGTCCTTTTTTTAAATCCTCCTTAAAATGTCATAAAGCCTGTGGACCAGCACCCAAAATATTTTCTCTGCAGTATTATACACAGCAGACTAACTGCATGCCTCTGAATACCTTGAACAGTAGGCTACACCAGAACATTTTACAAATGCTTGAGACATTGTTACATCATCCTTGTTACATCAAGGCCACTGAATAACCTTACTTCACTGACATTTGCAAAGGAA